ACACTCTTGTGAAAGGTAAAAAAAAAATAAATTTTGCAGTCTTATGCTATGTAACGACCCCATACAAACCGCGACTAAAAGTAGTAAATGGGCACCGATTTCACTGAAACTTCCTTTATGCTCTTCTTACACTTGAAAGAGATGGAATATGGAAAAATGGTGAAGATTGGTAATTTGCCATGCCCTACACACTCGTGGGCGGAAATATTAAATATGATCCGATTTAAATAAAACTCAGTTTTTATATTTGTATGAACTTAAAAAGTATAACTCCGAAACGTCTCCACAACGAAACGTCCGAGAACAGACTGAGGCTGATCGCTTCGCCGGGGCCCGAAACATGGTAATATGTAAAACTAGGTTCCAGCATGAAAACATCCATCAAGCTATATGGGTCTCTCCCGATCGAAAAAGGAAAAACCAAATAGACTATGTTGTGATAGACGGAAGACATTCTTCCAGTGTTTTAGTCGTACGTACACTCCGACTGGCCAGGCTTAAAAACTACAAAGCTGCTAGCTGAGCTATTCAAGTACGGCGGCGAGTAGCTGATAAGGTGCATGCATCAACTTTAATGCAGAATATGGTCAGATGAACGCATGCCCGACGACTGGAATTTAAGTGTGCTCTTCCCAATCCACAAGACAGGCGACCCCGCCATACGCGCTAACTACTGCGGGATCAGCCTTCTAAGCATAGGTTACAAGGTCTGGTCGAGTGTATTGTGTGAAAAACCGAAGCCCACCGTCGACGAACTGTTTGGACCTTATCAGCCTGGCTTAAGACCTGGCAAATCCACCATAGATCAGGTATCCACAATATGCCTAATCTTGGAAAAAAAACTGGCGATAATAGGATCGACACACACCATATATTTGTCGATTTCAAAGGCGCTTTCGACGGCACGAAAAGAAGTTGCCGCGATGTCTTAATTTCATATCCCAGCGAAACTAATTCGGCTGTGTAAAATGACGTTGAGCAATACCACCAGATCCGTCAGAATTGGGAAAGACTTCTCCGAGCCGTTTGATATCAAAGGAGGTTTCTTTTCGTGTGATTTCTTTAATCTAATGATGAAAAAGATAATAAGAGCCGCAGAACTGAACCGATCAGGCACAATACTTTACAAGAGCGTACAATTGCTGCCCATTAATGGCAACGGAGAATCAATTTTGCGAGCAAGTGCTACTTTGGACTGAGTAGGCAGTTGAGAAGTAAAGTCCTCTCTCGTCGTAAAAAATCACACTATAAGTCACTCATCATGCCTGTGCTGGTGTATGGCGCGAAGACATGGACAATGAAAATATCTGATGAAGCGTCTCTTGGAGTTTTCGAGAGAAAGATTCTGCGAAAGATTTCCAAGCCTTTACGCGTCGGCTATGGCGAATACCTCAAACGATTTAACGACGAGCTGTATGAACTTTGCAACTATACGGACGTAGTGCAGCTTATGAAAAGACAGCGGCTCCGCTGGCTTAGCCATGTCATTCGATTGACAACAACGCTCCATCTCTGCTAGTATTCAACTCGGAACCAGCTCGTGGAAAGACCAGATGGAGAAGAACTAGGCTTCACTTGGCATTTCCAATTGGCGTCAGTTGGCATAAAAGAGACACGACTGGTGCGCGTTGTTGAACTTGGCGCCAAATAAGAAGGAGATGATAAATAAATCCGTAAATACGAGTAACAAATTATGTCATTCAACTTCTAAGTCTAAAGTCCAAAACTAGTTTCAAAATGCTTAGCAATCTAGCACATGTTTTGTTGCCTTTCCAACAACAAAATGCGTGCTTGATTGCTACGTAGCAACTTTACAACTAAAATGCTACTCAACGTGAACTCCCTTAATACGAATTACAAAGAAAACTTATCCGCCTTTTTGACGGAACGTGACGCATTTGATAGATTTATGTCAGTGTATACGAGTATGCAAATTTAAGTATGCACATATTTTAAACAATTTTATTACTGGTTAGACACTGCCGCCATTGGGCCCATTACTTCCTTCCGCCCACAGCAATAACTAAGCGCCATTGCGCCAGCCGGGTGGTGGATTTCCAAAACAGATCTACATTCTACAAGTATGTGCATATATGTACGTGCATAGATATATATGTATGTACATACATATATATGGTTGTGTGTACATTCATGTTCATTTTAAAGACATTTTAATGTTTACGAGTATGCACATTGTATTATTTACCAGTTCATGACGCACTCCACTTATGGACTGTGCGTACACACACAACATTTTTTTATTTTTATTTTTGCTTGATAATTAAATTCATTTTAACGATTCATTCACCTGATGGTTGCGGTTGTGTGACGACATTTATTGAATTTTAAAATGCAATTAAAGTTGCCCATTTTCCAAAACCAGACGTTATAAACAATTAGAAACACACGTATGCCTGTATATACATTAGGGTGGTCCAAAAACAGTAAAGTCGGAATTGTAATGCTCTCACCCCCTAGGATTGTTCTATGTCGAAAAAAAGTATACCCCTATTTTTTTATTTTTAAATCAAAAAGTATATAGAGGTCGCTCAAAGCGCTTAAAGTTTTCCATGTATTTTTATATGGGAAAAGTAAATTTTTTCGTAGGAACGGTATAAAATTCTTGAAAATCAATATTTTTCGATCGGAAAACTCATATGAGTGTCTAGACAGCAGGATATTGAGGTTAATTGCATGCTTGATGAAATGACCCCCCCCCCCCCCCAACTCTCCTGAAATTAACACGATAGGTATACCAATGGCCAACATCAAACAGTTTGTTAGATATCTTATATGAATCTAAATAGTAGCCAGTGAACGCTGGAACCACTTTTAGTCCTGTGAAACCATCAATTTTATCAGGCCTTCCCATAACAGGAAACATACATCGCTGATGTTAAGTTTAAATAGGAAAGAAATGTTCTTCCTTCTAAAAATGTTTCTGTTTTAGTTCCTTAAATTTTAAAATACATTCAGTCTTCAATTCATGGCCGAGAAAAAAAAATTGTAATAGGAATATCGTACTCCGTATGAGAGTTTCTCGAGTTACCGTTCTTTCTTGACCGAAATTCTTTATTTGGGTTTAATTTAAGTATAAAATGTCTTGGTTTTTTCGTGAGTGTATGTGTGGAAAGCTCTACTCTCCAACCATTCCGAACCCTATACCACGTCCTATAAACGGCCAAAAATCAAATTTTGTTCATAACCATTTTTAATTTTAGCCCCGATTTCAAATTGTGATACATACAAGATTCGAAAGTCCTAGTACTACGACGATGTAAATCTATATTATTTCCTTCGACCAGTAGACATAATTTCCGCTCGATTTAATTTAGTACTCTGCGGAATGAAGGTAACGAAGTAGCCAACAAACTGGCTAGGAAAGGCCGATGAGCGTTTTGGGACCGGAACCATTTTGCGGACTCAGTTGGCCCTCCTCGAGACTCATAAATGATTGGCATTTATTAGGGGGGCTGATGAGATCGTAGGCCGTCAGGATATGAATCACTATTTTGAAGCCACATAATCTGACTTCTTCTTCTTTGTCTCGTTATGTTGGATTCTCTATCTCTCAATACAAATCCAACACCGAATTTGCGCTCCTTTACGTGGCAGCTGTAGTAGACGTCGCAAAGCGCCATTAAGGATCCGGACATTCCAGGTGCATGCCCTCAAATCGTAATCGTTTAAACGTTTGCCGTGCTCGTCATCAAAAGCGTGGTCTCATCCGAGGCTTTGCTGAATTTCTCCACTGGAAGTGATTTTTACGGGGCTGATGCCAAACCCAGCAACCAAATACACGTTTATATAGTGAGCCACTGGGTCCAAGACAGGCACACTTGCAGCCGCACATACTGGTAAACAGACGCTGCTGACTTCAGTGAGCCCTTAAACCGGATATGTCGGGGTGGCCCCACCGAAACTCCCTGTCTTTCTGCCGTTGTGGTTGTATCACAAAATATGTGCACTCGCATAAGTTTTGAGCACTTAAACATATCCGCAAAATTACGAAACGTTCTAATTCTCCGCAAAATACTATAGCACTAAAAAAGACTGGTCCTGTCCTAGGATCGATGCCTATCACTCGAAATTTAAAAATGAATTCTGAAGATTGATCCTCGACAGACGATTGGGGCGCCGTCGAGTGTAATTCTGACATGAAAAAGCTTTACATAAAATCCACCTGCGGTTCGAAGGCTGCACGACGTACATACATACATACATATGTATATCCTTGTAGGAACAGCTCAGCCGACCACTTACGACAGCAAAATATGTGTGCACGGAGTGTTTGCATATACATATGTATGTACCTATGTAGATATGTGCTTTTTCGCTACTTAAGACATTATATCGCTTTTGTTAAAATAGCGACAAATTTTACTTCCTAATTGTTTATATTTGTGTACATTTTTACGCTTCCTCGATAATAATTTAGTACCTGACACACTCGCATACATATGTATGTATGCACCTACACTCATTTTTATATAACGGTGCTCTCAATGAGCTTGCATTAGGTTGTGACATATTCTGTCTGAAAACAAATTTTCCACAAAAGTTTCAGAAGGTAACAAATGCCAAGATGTCTCGAATCTAGATTCGGAGTACAGTGTAAGAACTTTCACACAAGCCGACCACCAGCTTCAAGTAGATTGACGGTGCCGGCCTGTAGTTGCATGCTTTGATTTTGCCTTGAGAACTTGGTTAATTGGCTGCCCGAGGGCCGGCATATTTTTTGGTCAAATGTTTACGAACGTTGAATGAGTCCTTGTCCATTCACACTAGCTGGTAAAGGAACAAAATGTCTTAGGTGATCGAACAAAAGCTAGCGTGAGCCAAAAACGGTAAATTCTGCACACCTAACTCGATTTTAAATTATTTTGGATTATGACACTATTGAAGTAAATAAGCAAGGAATATCCTTGCTATTCGCACTTTCTTTTTTAGAGTTTAAACTTATCACACACATACATATAATTTTACTTATTTACTTCCAGTTGCCGTCCAATTATAGTTTTAAACTGGATATTCATAATCGACTAATGATACTCATATACCCAATATACCGAAAAGCATGTCAACTGCTACGAAAAATAAACGGCCTCGCTTACTATATGGAGCCGAGTACAGCTCGTCGTCTTCAGTTGTTATCCGCTCCCTAAAACTCATCTTTACGAAGCATCGTCGAAGAAGATAAAAAAAAAAACACGCCTAAACTTGCCTCCGGCATAGAGGTGCCTCAAACCCGAGCTGTCTACGGAAGATGTCCTCACGACGTAGTTCATATCGCAAACGACAGAAACCGCCTTTCGAACGATTTAAAGATAAATGTCGACAATTTACGGCTTTTATGTTCAGTAATGTTGGCATCATATTACTAGTAATCTTCTATACAATTGGAGGTAATTGAAAATCGTTAATACGAGTATTCGCATTTGGATTTTATTTTATTTACTTTTTTTTCTAAATAATTCATAAGCCCACGTGCCTTTATTCACAGGTGCCTTTATTTTTCAAGCTATTGAATTATTCGAATACGAAAGACTTAGCCCACATAAAACGATAAAACCCAATGCAACTGAAAAATGCGCGCAAAAGATTTGGGATATAACGGCACAGAACATAAGTTTCTATGGGAACGCATATTATAAGGAAAGGTAGGCTTTTGAGAATTTAGGAAAAAGTTGTTTTTAAATATAAATTCATAAATACAAGTATACATACATACATATACATATGTAAGTCTTAGATACTAAATATAAATATATTTCAATTATCTAGCACTAACTAAAATTAATATTGCAGAGTAAATGAAATTTTGCTGCAATTTCAACGAGAAATAGCGCATGAAAAGTTAATTGATCCCGACATTGACAAGCAATGGAGCTTTTCGGGTGCATTCCTTTACTCACTAACGGTTATTACAACTATAGGTGAGTGTTCTAAAGAGGTAGAGTAATATTTTAAATCAAAACGACATAATTCGAGTTTTTACTGTTCCATATGATTGCAAAGGCAAGTTTATTGTATGCTTCAAACAAAGTAAGGTGCATATTTAATTCGATTGTACAGGGTCTAGGACCACCTGTCCACCCCTCTAAAATGGAGGGAACGGAAGTCATTTTTTTAAATTAGATATACATGTTTTTACCACAGATTCGGATTCTGTGGACAAAAATATCCAACTTTTGTTACAATCTGTTTTCACCGAAGTGCCTTTTTCAAAACTTTTCAACGTGAGTCCAGAACCAGTTAAATTTCGAAGGTCATTTAGAGGTGGAAAAGGCACTTCCGAGAAAAAAAGTTTCAAACAAAAGTTACGTGCTCTTATCCTCAGAATACGAATCTGTAGTAAAAACATACATACGTAATTAAAAAAAAAAATTACTTCCGGTCAGTTTAACCCACTTCCGGTCCAAACCGGAAAAGTTTCCGAAAAAGGTATGTGCTTTTATGGCCAAAAATCGAATCTGTGGTAAAAATATGTAAATCCCATTTAAATAAATGGACCTCCGACCAATAGATAGAGCATCCTCGACTTGGTAATTCAATTTTTTTCGATTTCCAATAAAAAACATTTTCACTCATTTAAGAATTCCAGGACGAGTTAAAGTTCGACGGTCATTTAACGATTGAAAAAGCACTTGCGAGAAAAAAGTTTCGAGGAAAAGTTTCGAATTTTTATGCTTACAATCCGAATCTGTGGTAAAAACATGTATGTAAATATATCTAAATTGAAAAAAATTTACTTCCAGTCAGTTTAACCCAATTTCGGTCGAAACCGGAAGTCGTTAATACCACCAAAAGATAGGTCAAATTTTTTCGGTTTTCATAAAAAAAAACATTTCCCACCATTTTAGAAGGTGTGGACAAGTGGTGTGAGACAAAGACGTGAGTGCCAAATACTTATGAAAGATGTATCATAATTTGTTTAGTCCACATAGTGGGTGTAAAGGCAGTTTTCGCGGCAGGAGTTCTGGGGTTTCTGGCAGTGAAGAAATTTAAAGGATCGCCGATATTCGCGCCAGCTATCGATTCTTACAGGTTTACTGACCGGACATTGTCCGACTCAATATCGCCACAGGATCCTACTGCCGCTGCTGTCTGGAGGATGAGGTGGAATCATATCAGAACTTCCTCCTCAGCTGCCCGGCATTCGATAGATTAGGATTTAAGCAGCTCGGTGCGCATTTCATCAACACTCCCGAGGGGCTCTCCGGAGTGGACATCAGTTGCTGCGGAACTTTGTTGTGAGCAGCCAGTGATTCTCTTATTTTACACACAGTTACCGTACTAAGAATTTGTGTAATGTGGTATCACAATGGACAATTAAATAATGTCTAAGTTAATCCCCCTTGCAGGGTCTGCCACAATAACCTAACCTAACCTGCCAATGCTTCGGCCCGTCGCAATTGTCTGAAGTTCACTAATTTGACTTCGTCCGGCAGCGAAAGTAGTTTCGCCATGCATAGGCTGAACAACGCCGAGGAGTAGGTCGCCCTAAAGAGCATAATGTTTATTTCTACGCAGCTCGGGCATAGCATTTCCGATTCAGGCGGGGGAGATAGCTGTTTAGTCTGTGGCACCACCCGGAACGGAATTGCGCTAAGATGCACCTGGGCTCTCTCGGCAGTTCCGCTTCGTCGATATTAACGGGCGGCGGTCGACCGCCTAGGACGATTTTGTCGTCTCGGGAGCTGAGACTCGTCCTGACTGCACCGGTGTGTAGGTGGTTAAGCGTTACTCTGTATTTTTCTGCGTCCAATGGGTGGTATATGCACGGCTCAATGTCGTGTTTCGAGTCCCGCAGGTGCCGTCTTACATGCCGTGGGGCTGATCGTTTCGAAATAAGGCATTATTGGGGTGATTTCTATGGTGGAATCCCACGAGAAACTACTTCATAGCAAGGTTTTATGCTCTTTAAAGAAAAGCTGTCGAACGTGACTTCCAAGACTTTGGGATGATTGACCGTCGGTATTCTGTTGCCATCGACGTGTACGTCCAGTTCCAGCCTGACCGCCTTTGTACATGTGGTAAATATTGTGGCGGTAGATTTCGCGGTGAATAAATTTGAAAGATCGGTGAGATAGTCATTGATTTTCCTGTCGATGTTAGAGCCCGTTGCCATTTTCGTGCCATAATCGACGTAGCTCACCAAATTAACCCCAGTTTTGCCATGTAGAGGTTAAACAGTGTGGGAGGGAGTATGCCACCTTGGGGGATCCCCTGTTTAATTCTACGGGCTTGGATTTGACGCTTTGGAATTCGACCGATGATTGGCGTCCAAACCCATATATACCGCTTCGTCCGATCCAAAAGCGAGGAGTTTAGGACGTCTTGGCAAAGGGTCACGTACTTTACCGTGTCGAATGCCTTCGACAGGTCAACCGCGACTAGGACCGTCCCTTCACAGGCTCGACATTGGTTCAGACCTACGCTTATCTGTGTTGTGATGGCGTTTAATGATGTGGTCGTGCTATGAATTTTTCGGAATCCATGTTGGTGTTCGCCTAGTTTCAGATGCTTCGTCAGGCTGGGGAGGAGTAGTGCTTCCACTGTCTTTCCCACTGGGGATAGGAGGCAGATTGGCCGGTAAGAGTCTCCTGCGTCCGCCTTCTTCCCTGGCTTAAGGAGGCGAATGATCCTACCCAATTTCTACATATCGGGGATGATCAGGGTAGACAGTGACAAGTTGAAAGCTGTTATCATGTACTCGACTCCTGCAGGTCCTAGCTTTTCAGCATCTTCCTGGAGATTCCGTCAGGGCATAACGCCTTGGATGCTTTGGCGTTCTTGACAGCTGCCTGCGTCTCTTCAGGGGTAATGCACGTTGGTGTGTCTCGGGGCGGAGTTTGCGTGCTTTACGTAGCGCACTACGGCGGGCTTTGTCTCTCTCCGGGTGCGCGGATTCGACGTTGTGGTATTGCCGAATGTAATGGCAAAGTTATCCTTACGTTTCGTCGGATGGGAGAGAGATTTTTCTGTCGTCCACAGTTTGCTAGCTCCGCTGAAGAGATAGCAGGGTTTGAGGTGCTCATTTCACGTTTCTGTTTATGTTCGTTTACCAGTTTACTAATGTCCTTGTTGATGCCCCTAATCCGGGGAGACTGCCGATTTCTACGGGTCCCGCCGGATTTTAGTGATCCTACCGGCTGCATTGAAGCGGTCGGCTGCTGCGTTGATAACCCTGCGTATATTGCGCTACGCGCGCACATGTTGGCGGTGGAAGGGCGTTGAATTTGCGGTCTCTGTGTTCCGTACCCCCGTTCCAGTTAGCCTTCTTGGTGTACACGTACGTACGGTTTTCGGATGTGACAAAACTCTTGGGTGGTCGACTACAATGAGCAGGGGGTCTGATGCGAGCGTAAGCACTGATTGCCATCCAATGCAATTATTTATCAGGGTGGGCATTGGTTTAGACCCTCATTTTTCTGAGATTATGGCGGTCAATGCTATAGTAGTGCTGTGCATATATTCTCGACTCTATACTGGCATTTAGCTAGTTTTAGAAGTAAGGTCATGCTGGGGAGGCTCAGGCTCTTATGTATTTTATTTAACTGTATTTTTTTATAATAATCCCCAGGCTACGGCAATATATCTCCCAAATCGGATTGGGGCAAATTAGTCACCATTTTATATGCGATCATCGGCATGCCTCTCTTCCTACTCTACCTCTCCAATATTGGCGATGTCCTGGCCAAGTCCTTCAAATGGATTTACTCCAAAGTCTGCTTGTGTCGCATTTGTCCGGGCGTTGCACGCCGTCGAATCATACGCGAACGCCGTAAAATACGACAATTGGCCATGTCAAAAGCGGTAAAGCTCAAATCTATGCGCATTTCTCTCCTAAGCATTTATAATTCTACTGCCACTCACTGACAGCTACAAGACATGGAAAGCCGATATGCGAACACCAGCAGCAGTACCAGCAAGAGCAGTGATAGCCGAAGCAGTAACAGCACTTCAGGCAGTTACTACAGTGAAGAAACTGAGAGTTCAACACAGAGCATGAGTGCGCTGGAAATTTTTGAAGAGGGGAATGATTCCGATATTGAGAGAGAAATACGTATGAATACTGACGAAATTACGGTACCCTTAACGGTTTGCGTGATCATAATGATAAGGTTAGTTACAGAATAAGAAAGTTGTATGTAAATGAAATTTGAAATATGCTAAAGTGTAATGTATGTTTTCAATTATTAGTTACATATTAGCTGGTGCTATCCTTTTCAGTCGTTGGGAAGCTTGGGATTACCTGGACGGCAGCTACTTTTGCTTTATCTCGCTTAGTAGCATCGGTTTCGGGGATTTGGTACCAGGCGAACGTGTGGTATTGTGTTTCTTGCTGTAAATTTATTTGAAATCTCAATCAATAACAAGTTTCACTTGCAGATTACTGCCGATAAAGACAAAGTTGAGGTTAGTTTTATACTTTGTGCTGTTTACCTATTGCTTGGTATGGCCCTCATTGCAATGTGTTTCAATTTGATGCAGGTGTATATATTTTAATACAAATAATAATATACAAATTTATTTACTCACACACTTATTTGCAGGAACAAGTTATACACAATGTTCGAGCCATCAAACGAGCTTTCAAATCCTGTTTTCGTTGTAAGAGATGACACTATCATAAGACGCTTTTTAATACATAGTAAATCGTTAATTTTATTTAGTATTAAGTTAGGTATACATAGAAATACGAGTGTCGAAAAAAGTATAATTGTAATAACTACGAATTTAAAATTAATAATAAAAGTAATATGTATAGCGATCCGAAAGTGTTCCTCATGGTGTACAGTAAACGAAACATTTTCAAATAAATACACACTTATGCAAATAAATTTCGTATAAGTTATCAATAAACTGTATATAATGTATGACTTTGTGTTTAGTAGTGTTTTGTGATATCTTTAACTTTATAAATTTCAATGGACTATATAATATATGTCTATGTTATACCCAAGAAATTCAAAGGTTAAATGATTTATGAAAAATCCTTATAAACAACTGTAATTTTTAAGTTACTTTATTACATTTAGTATTCATAATGTCATTAAATATTTACAATAGTGTCGCCATTATCATGGTTTGCAGTGAAAATATTTAATGGCTAGATTTATTAAAAACTTTTGTATCCCAATCGCAGATAAATGTAGTCAAAATATTTTCACTAAACCAAACCATCTGACTGAATAGAATTTGAGTTGAGTATAGAAGTAAAATTAATTTCAATAGAATAACAAAATATTGCTATTTGAATTTAGAAGTATTGCTCAAAAATTATTCCCACTACTATTATGAGTTAATTTTCATACCGACATTATTGTGTTTGAGTGGGCCAACTCGGACGTTGGAAATGTGTGACGCCTTCGCAAGTTTGATTTACAGTCGAGCGCGCTTTCTCCATCATTGCGGCCGCGGTAATATTGCTGGGCGGTAAATTATGATTTACACTATATTTGCCCTTAGGTTGGCGTTCCGGTTGCTCCAATGGTGGTATTTTACATAAAATTTTATATTTAGGACATGTTGACGAGGCTTTGTTCACACATGCTTTTTTAAACTGTTGTGCTAACTTTGTGGCCACATGTGATCTACTAGGGGCTGTGAGCATGTCGAAAGCAGTTTTCTTACTCA